AACAAGGCCAGGATTTCTACATGGACGCAATAGTCTATTAGTTTTTCCTATTGAGGGCAAGATACTTGGGCGTCTTATTGCAAAGCAATAAGAGCAGCTCCACAGCACTGGGAATAAGTGCTACACTTGCTACTGTAGTCCTTCACTGGATAGGGTGATTTTCTTACAGTCACCTCTCTTTCTCCATGCTCCTCTTCTAGTCATTGACCCTGAGATTTAGGCTAATAGAAATTGGCTCCCTCTCACATAAAATAAACAGCTCCAGTAATGATTTCCCAGCTCTTTGATGATTTCAGTATTTTTCTACCTCTAACCAAAATCTCTGGTTCATATGGTAGGATAAAAAAGTCTCATTAGGTCATTTAGATCATTCTAGCTATTACAGGATTATCCTCTGTGGTATCTTCTAAACAACTTTGACACGTCTCCAGAAAACTTAAAAAAGATTGTGAAAGATTACTTAATATTCAGGCTAACTTTTCCTTCATCTATTTTAATTCCTAGACTTTTCAGCTTCCTCTATACCAGGAAATCTGACATAGCACAGTAAAAATGAGAAATATTGACAGCTCTCACCACCTGCACTTGTCCAAGCTTGTGTCTGGGTCGTGAGACCTACTAACTATATTGTGGCCCCACACAGACACACTACATGTGCATGCAATAGCATAGACGCCAAGCTCTGTGATAATCAAGCTGCTTGATACAGTCCTATTTACAAACCTGGGAGGCTTTCAGTTATCAACACTGGGTCCACACCAGTAGGTTCCTCCATCTCATTTGGTTTTACATCTAACAGACTCGACACTGGCACCAGGCTCAGGGACACTACAGAAATACAGCCTGAAGCGTAGCAGGATTTGCTGGTCATTATGAATGGCACTCTTAGTTGATTTGCTGCTACCGATTTGCATTCTTCCAGTCTTCTAGTATTGGTTCTCTAGCACTTTCACCGCATCTGTACTTTCCCCCATAAACCTCCCTAGCTCGTAGGTATCTTTCTGAAAGAGAGGAGTCCAGTGCTGTGCCTTGGCTAACTCTAGTCTCAGCCTATGAAACAAGGCTGAAGCCAGCTCACCACATTCTGTGAAACATGTTTCCCCAACCAGCACTCCACAGAAACATGCACGTTATGAAAGAGAGTCCTTTAGGTTACAAAATCTGTTTGAGGTCAGGAAATGGCGGTGTTCAGATCCTCATCTTTCCCCTTGTCCTGCCCCAAACGGTACACATTCTTGCAAGGACCAACGAGTTTTCAGGTTGGTCATTGTGTAAAATATGACCAGCTTGGGTCAGTGAGCAAATGAGTTTCAGTTGAATGTCACAGTATTCACACGTCTAATCTTCAGTATTGTGCCTTGGTGAGAATACTAACAGTCAAGTGGGACTGGGCTGAGACATTCACAGTTTTGAGCAGATTTATCAAAACTGAACATCTCTTTTATCGCTTCCAGCAGCTACAGCACTCAGAAGTCAGGCAGAGGCAAAATCAGTAAGGAAATACCTTTTGGGGCAGTGTAATGCCAACCCAGGAGAAGCACTGAACCAAGTAATGACTAGCTTTTAATGAAATTATTTAATTACATAGCCATTATTAACTTCTGTAGCTGCATAATTGTGTGATTAATCAAATCTAATGCCTTCAGTCAGAAAATGTTTATCGGTGGGGCTCAGGGAGAATTTTTCTATCTTATACAGGGTAGTACAATTGGCTCAGAGCATAAAGGGGTTTTTGCTTTCCTCTGAAACATCAAGTACTGACCACTGCTGGAGGCAAGACTGATGTCTGATTCAGTGTGGCAGTTTCTATGTAGCAAATGAGATTTCAAGGACAGACAGAAAAGGGATGCTGCAGTCTCATTTTCCAACATACAGTCCAAGCATATGTACATTTCTCTGTTGCTGAGCATTAACAGAGTAGATTGAAGTGTCAGTAATATAGAGCATTAAAAGGAAAAATGCAAAGACCCTTGGATAGCTTTAATTTAGGAAATGATTTAGATGAAAGGAATAGTTTTGAAAGTTAATTTCATTTTGGTCTGCCATAAGACAGCTAATGACAAAACTTGCTTCTGACCTAACTCATCAGCTCTCTGTCTTTGGAGCAAATATTAGATGTCTGCATTTAAGAGTCCTTCTTCAAACACCAGCATGATTTCAGCGATAGGCAGAGTTATTCCCAGATAGCCAGTCTTCTGACCTACAGGGGCAGAAACCTAACAAGAACACTTGCTGGGAGTCTACATGGGTCTGAAAATTTCCCATTGTGTGGCCAAACTAAACCCCATTTCTTTTTTTCCAGCACTCTGAGATATGCAGGCTGGGGGCCAAGTTAAACAGATACTTTCAAGCTTCTCTCTGTCTCCACTGACAACTTCAATACCTGGCAAATTAGAAGCCAGAGCATCCATGGAATTGTCTGATACAAGTCAATAGAACGGAGCAACAAAAAGAAAAATACATAAATAAACAGTGACGCAAAGTTGTGGTTCCATTGCTTATGCCAGGGAAGAATTTATCTACAGAGAAAGTGTGTGTGTATAGAAAGGGAGACCTGCCAAATGTATAGTATACAGAAGAAGTTTCCACTCACGTTTTTCTCTGGACAAAGAGGAAAAACTTAGATTGTGAAAGCAGAGTGTGCTACATTTTTATTGAAGTTCAAGGCTACTATTTATTTTAGAATTTCTGCTTTGCCACTCAACAGGTTTGGTTTCAATGCCTTGTGCAGGTCTAAAAGCACAGTAACATTAACTTTAATCTGTAATTTCTGCCTTTGCATGTTAGAAGTCGGAGAACCCATCTTTATTCTAGACGTGCAAGACATGGTGGGCTGGCTCTTAGAACTCAGGGTTCCTGGGTTCACTTCCTAGAGACAAAGCTGGAGATGCAAACATGCTGTGGAAAGCCACCACAGCACGCTAAAATCAGGCCAGCTACGAAGCAGCCAATCTCCCATTGCAGCTGATTAGAGTTGCAGCTGTTTGTTATGTCTGAATTTGGCTGAACATCTCAGCTGCTGGCTTAGAATGACTGGCTTTACGGCCTATGATATACAGAGTATCACCTACTCCACACAATTGCCCAAGAAGAGAACTACAGGGATAGATAATTTACAGATGGACCCTACAGGCTGTTCATTGTGGTTGTGCACAGATCATAAACCAATGTTCTACTCTAGCCAATGCACTGCACACTCATGACCTTTCCAGAATTAGCAACAGTTTTAAGTGAAGGTACTGACACTAGTTCTGTCAGCCAGACTGAGAATATCAGCAGCTTATGGGAAAACTGAAGCTTTTGACAGGTTCCAGATTCAGAGGCAAGATAACACAACTTCTAAAGTCATAGTAGCATAATCTAGCAGGACATATTTACCCTTTCATAGTTGAAAGGAGCTGGGCCTACTGTATATAACAATTCTGTCATGCCAAGCATCAACCTGCTCTTAAGCCTGCAACATGACAGCGCACAGAGTTGGTGTCTTGGATCTACTACTTTTCCTAATCATGATTTCTGTTCCCCTTCCTCCAATTACTGTATCTGTCTCTTAGCTGTTTTTTTGTTTCCTGGAGCAGGAATCGGCTTTGCTTTCTTTCTAAAGCACCATACTCTGACTCCCTGATCAACTTTGGGGACTGTAAGTACTGCAGCAGTACAAATGAAATAAGTGTAATGAATTATACATTTGATGAACAGTTGATTATTCAGATTTGGTTTAGCGTCATTAGAATGTAGCTTTATGATCCTTTAAACACATATGAAATACACACACAAAGTGCTTGAGCACTGCCTGATTTTGAATTCTCCCAGGCACATTCGTAAGTCATTCTGAACTGAGACATGAGCAATCCATAATCAGTCTGTGAGTGAGGCTTATTCCAAAGAGGTGCACGTTAAAGGGTCCCTAAGCAAAGCGGAGAAGTTCAAAAGCCATTCTCACATTGGGATCCTTCTGAGAACCAACCCTAAATTATCCAGACTTCTTCCAATGAATTCCTCAGATGGAAGAAACCAGGCTTAACAAAACATTATTTTTAAGGCAGCCTACAACAGAAAGTACCTTTTTTTTTTTCCTCCACAACGTTTGCTGTTCCTCAAGGTCACCTTGTGATACAAATCCTCTCCAGGGTTCTCCTACTTTTAACATTGAGGTTGCTCCATGTGATGTAAGTTGCTTCTCTCCCACTGCCTTCATCACCTATAACAAGAGAAGACAACAGAAAATGAAAGCTGGCTGTCTTTAATAGCATCAGTTACAGGCCAGCAGTTGTAATGTTGAAAAGCACTGCCCTTCACTAGCATTCTGCTCAGTAATTTTAAAGGGCTAGAGAATATAAGAAAGATTTTGCCCTACACTGCAAGAGTGTGTTCAACACACTCTTGCTTTCAGTATCATTTTAAATTAGAGTCTGTCATAGATTATTCATTATTTCATCTTTTATTATACTTGAAGAAAAGTCATAGTCTTCAGTTCTGCTTTCAAAAAAGTCAAATTTTTACTGACCTGTGTCAGAACAATGAGAGAATATTATTGTATGTATAGGACAGGTGCATTTATAACTGATATAGTGCACTGAAATGTGGTAAGCTAAAAAGACAGGGCGACAGGACTCTTGGATTTACTCCCACATCGACTTTTAAAACACCGAATTATTTGAAATACCTAATTCAGTTCCCTCATCCAATCTGTAAAATGTCACTGTGTTACAGGATGCTGCAAAGGTAAATTGAAATGTCTTTTTTTTTTTTTAAAATAATTTTGACCATTAATTACGTTGACCATTAATAGAGAATAAACCTTATGGAGACAGGGTCGATATATTATACTGTTTGTTCTCAACAGGCGGAGAGCTGTTAGCAAGAGCAAAGAATCCATATTATCTGATCATGAGCGTGAGGCTGTCAAATACCAGCCAGCAGTACAGGTAGAAGAGGACACCATGGACTTCACACTGGAAGACTCTGTTCTCCTTCCTATGGATCCAAACCTGGAATGCCACAGCCCACCTCCAGATTACAACTCCGTCATTCACTACTCAGCCCCTCCAGTGTAATCAGCCCAACCTGACACAGGGCATCTTGCACCTCTCTTAACCATGCTAGATTCTTATGTGCCTCCATGCCTGGATAGAGGCTGCGTAAAAACAGAAGGGAAATCTGACAGGACAATGGTTCATATGTTTCTTGTGGCACATCTCTGATGTGAATAGAAACATTTGAAGAGCATCTTCTTTTCTATCTTTAAAGGCCTATTGCAACATACGCAGTAAATTAAAATTCTGTCTATCAGAATTGTAAGTAGGAGCTGTAACCCAGAACTGCTTCCACTGCTTCCTCCCCTAGCTGGGACTGTTCATTGGCATTTGCAGATTTACAAGTTCTTTCATTCACATTTTACTCCATAAGAGTCACCAAGAGTCATGTCAAGCTAGTTGTGAAAACAAGATTCATTCTACTGGTCCTGCACACATCCTGCAGGTATGATGCTGTAAGGAATCAGTTGAAAACAACAGCCATACACAATAACGTTTTGCTTTTGGAGAAAATCCAAAATTGAAACATCATTCTTCACTTGGGATCTCACCTTCTGTAAATACTTCTGAAATATTTTGAAATCCAAAATATTTTGGGTACAATTTGTGATTTCATAATTTCCACTGCCTATAGGATACACTCCTAAAAATGATATGGCACAGAGAAAGCAGATAGTACTCATGTATCAAGAGGCGGGCTGGTCTTTCGGGCCATCAGGGCATACAATGTGGTTAAATCTGTTTCCCTGTGTTTCCTCCTTGTCCAAATAGCAATTTATTTAGCATACATGCAATAGGGAACCTTGATGGAGATGCATCTGTAATGATTGCAAGGCAAAATCACTGCCTTAAATAAGAACCTTCTTAAGCTTAAATAGACAGAATTTCCCAGCGCACATGCACACGTTTGTGAGAATGCATAAAATACTCATTAACAACGTGAGAGTTACACATAAACGCACATACACCCTTGAGGCACCAGCAGGCACTGTTTCCTTTCCGCACACAGGCTATTTACTAAAAAGGAAAAAAAAAAAAACAAAACAAACCCAAACATTTCCTTTGGATTCTGTAGCAGATGCCCAACAGTTTGATCCTGGGAATACTAGCCCATGCTAAACTGTAAGCATATGTGACTCATATTTGTCTCTGACTGTCTTGCCAAGGTAAATATTGGTATGATATGCAATGCCCTCTGCATCTAAACACTTCATGGGTTCATGGTAATTCAAAGCTTTTTTTGCAGCCTAATCATGCAGGACTGAATGGATCATAAATTCTCACATTTGAGAAATTCAAAGGGTGTTGCCCCCCCGGCAAAAGCTGTGTGTGGCAGGGACTACTGGTCTGCAAGTATGTATACCCAGGTCCCACGCATACCCCATGCATACTCACAACAACTCCAAAAATAAGCAAATAATCCTTGTCATTTAACATGCTATGTAACAATCAGAGTTGACTTCAGAAATCTAGGAAGGGAAAAAGTATCTAGGTTGCAAGTATAAAAAGCAAGGATGAGAAAGATGTTCATTAACAGTCAAGGCTATAACTTCCTAAGTTATAAACCTAGATCTATGAATGACTCTGTGCAGTTTCTTCCAAGGTCTGCACAACCCTTTCGTTTCCTTCTTAGACTTGACACTGCTTTGACTTCTTTGGAGAAAAAGAGTTTTTCTTCATTATTACAAACTAAAAGAAAAAAAAAATCCAACACTTGCAAAACAATTATATTACCTTGGTGAAGACAGCCTAAACACCCTCGCAGAAGTGAAGAAAACATTTCTGGATGATCAGTTACAGTTGATTACGTTGAAGTAAACACAAACAAGCCTCAGGTATTATCAAAGGGGAAAACAAATCTCCAAACCCCATACCATGTTAACTGTGAATGCTAAAGCATCTGAAGTACAGGCTCTTGGGAACTGCGCTTCTCATTCTCCTTGACTTCAGATACAATGTATAAGGAAATCACCTGCAATAACTCACGAGCCCCTTGTTCATAGTGGACCTGCTAGATAGCTGTGATCTGTAGTTGCTTTATGGTCATTTTTGCACTTCTTTGTATTTTAGTACCTATGTGTTAAGTAGAGCTGGTCATATAACAGAAGAAACTACTGGGAAAGGATTAATCTGATGAGCCCCAGAAAGCTCATTGGATCAGTTTTTCATCAAACAGTAAATTAACTATCTATAGCTCTGATCAAATAATCAATCTCCTCTTTTGGAAATAATTTATTCACATGGCAAAAAGAAAAAAAGGTGCAGACAGTTTGTCTGGCTCTACTGTTAATGGCATCAGTGAGATGGTTTGGTTCTGTGCCTTGTTCTGTAGGGTAAGAAAATGACAATGTTTAAAAACCTTTGCTTATAAACTTTAAAATAAGTACATACAGGGGAAAAAACCTGCAAGTATACTCTCTATTTTAAGAAAGAATGGGAAACACTGCTGTGGGAACTGTCTGCTTCTAAGAGAGCTGAGTATATCATCTTTCCACTTCATCAAGGATGAACTGTTGAGGTTTCTCTGAGGCCAGAAGAACATGAAGCATGTTTCCCAAGTGGGACCCAAGCGGACGCTCTCATGGAGCGCTGGTAGCCAGGTCCCTTTCTGGCTCGCAGTAACATATATCAGCCTTTCTGCATCGCGTGAGACGATGTGAAAACAGAGTACAGGCTCAAGTGCTCAAGACACATTTAAAACACTGATCGCATTGACAGCCCCGTGAACACTGGGAGCACCTCTGCAGTGGCAAAATCAACAGCCGTCTTGAGCAGTATCGATGGCCATTTCTTCAGAGAGCAAAGATACCTTCCGAACCCGCAATAATGGCCTTCAAAGTGTTCGAAATGGCAAGTGACTGATGTTTGGGCAGCTGTGTTTCCAATGTTTATTTTGAGTGGAAGATTTTTTCCTTCTTATAGTAAATGTAACAAGCAACAGTATTGCCTGAAAAGTATTATTGAATATGTCTTCTATTTTATTTACTAATATTTTGTTTGTCCTTTTCTCTCCTCCCTTAATTTAATTATTGTTCTTTTCTTACAATGATGTATATAGTTTACCCAGTAGAAACAAATATAGTGATTCATTTATATGGTAAAATTTGTAACATTTTAGTCAAAAGAGAAAGAGATACCCAGACATAACAGAGTTAAGTACTGTTACTAAACATTTCACTAATGCTTGCAGGCCAGGCTCCAGTTTACAGTACCCTCCTAGTGCCATTTCATACCAGTTCTCCTCTTGGCTGCGAGTATCTCCGGCTCTCACTTACTCTCCACATTATTGAGTTTCAGTTAGGAAACAGGGATCTGGAGGAATCTGGCAGGTTTATCTCATTCCTGGAAGTGTCACCATGCAGCTCAAGGTAAAGGCAAGGAATTTTCACTGCCTCTGTTTTAACTCAAGGCTGGTGTATTGGCTAGAGGATCAGAAGGCACCAAATGGTTTAAATGATGTGATGTTTATTATTTTTTCAGACTTCTCAGGGATTCTTATTCGACTCCTGTCAGCCACCTGCTTTATCTAACCTGATTGAGCTCAATGGTATCTGGTATTAACACGTACCTTTGTTTTCTTTAATGGTGCTTACTCCTACTGGTTTTGTCCTCTTGTAACCCCAGAGAATTAGGGCAAAGGAACTCAGAGCTCAGCACAGAAATGTGTTGTCTTCTCTCCAACAATCACCTGCCACATAAATGTCCAAGGATAAGTGCCTTCACTTGCATGTTATTGTTCAGGCTGGTGTTTTTAACAATCTGGTTTCTTATCTCCTCTTTTCTCTACTTTTCATCTATTTCTTGATATTTGTTCTTCACAGTCCCTTTGGATTACTTTTCTCTGGCTTTTGAATAAGATCAGGTATAGGACTCCTGTATATTCTGCTCTTGCAGAGGCTGAACTAGGTAATCTAAAGCAAGCTTTTTTCATATTAAAAATTTTCCATTACAGGCAAGGGAAACTAGTTTATACTGGTTTGTCTGGAAGCCTTTCTGTATCCTTCCCTGAATGAGAGAAGCTTTTTAATCTATTGATTTTTCAATATTTGATAGCTGGAGCAAAACAAAGGTTTGGTGACTATCTATGTGAATCTCATCTTTCTCCTAGTCCTTTCTCAAACAATGAGGTTTCTCTTAGGTTCTTCCAAGTTATCCTCACAAGAAGGGGGTCCTAAGCAGGATGCTGGGCCCACACCATCTACTCAGGATATCAAAGAAGGTCAGATAAAAACCTAACGTCTGAGTAATAGTCTCAAACAAAACCACTGAAATTTGAACCCACTGAACGCTGAAGACGTATACATTTAAGGCTGCCTGCAGGCATAAACTGCTCTGCTTAAGCCATCCCACTAATAAAAACACTACTCTCCAGTTAGCCTGCTTGGTAAATCCCCAGGATAACCTAGAGCATCCAGGCACTTCTCTCTTTGTATTTATGCTCTTGTATACTGTAGAAATGTTAGTCGGCATGTAAGCCTGTAACTGGCCAGTCAACAGTTTGTGACGTATCTTCTCAATGATCCTTCACGCTGAGCGTTGGCACTGCCTTGTCATGTCCTATCTTGCTTTACAAATTTGATCTGGCCCTATTCCAGCTGTAAGGGTGTGGTCTTGGGTCAATGGTCTCTAGGTCCCATCAGCACCAACTGGACAACACCGGGAAATGTTTGCAGGGAAACATCACCAGCAAATAGCTACATAACAAGATAAAGCATTTTTGGGTTTTCCTGAACACAGGAGTTAGCCAGGATCAGTATCATACTCAGAGATCAGCCTATAATTTTTTTCTTATCATAAAGTGGATAGAAAATACAGAAGGTAGCAATAATTCTTTTGTCCCTCCCTGCAAATAGTAATAGCCGAACCCTGAGATCCATTTTCCTGTTCTTATACTACGCCACAAAAAAAAACAAAAACAAAAACAAAAACAAACACCACAAAAAACAAACAGAAAGAATTTTGCCAAAGTAATGACACCAGCACCATCTTACGCAAGTAAAATTCAGGGAGGATTTACGGAT